ATGTATCTAAACAGGTGGACTACACAAACATACTGTTTTACAGTGACAGTGGTAGAAATCTGCAAAAGCGACCGAGCAAAACACTGAGGTTCATGCACAATTAAGCGAGTATTTTCATGCGACAACTACATTTTGAATATTTTAAGTATGCGAAGATTTTATTTAGCTCACGCTCACGTATTTACAACAACATTTATAGTTACATGTAATTTACTCTTAATTTATGCCAGTGGGATAGATTGTAAATTAAAGAACAATATATGCGACGGGCCAATTTCAGCTAAAAAACACGTCGACAGAGCTGGTATCTTTGTAAGCAGCGATTTGTTTATTTAGCACTTGAGAAAAGTCAACTCAAAAAACTTTACCTAAAACGGTGGTTTGTTCACTTAACAATTAAAGGAAGGTTAATTTTAAGTTAAAATCGACATATTTAAATGAATCAAAACTGAAGTAGAGACCAAACACGTCGAGTTTTGTCCCAATAGCGTGCGATTTGCAGTAGGAGTACAGCAAGGAAAATGGCCTAACTTCGTGAAACTGCACGCTGTATATTTTGGTCTGGCGCGCTTGCTTTTCACGGGCCAAAATACTATTTTTACATGATAAACACGAAGAATTTCTCGTTGAAAAGAGCTCTTTTATTTTATGTACATTTGTATACCCTCTATGTTATGGTCGTCTGAAATATAGCAAAATTCAGCGTACAAACGGAATAGAAAATATAGTGTACTTTACGCGGTGGTTACAAACGAAAGAAAGTTCAGTTGGAGATGAAATATAGTTGCAAAGCTACTCCAAGGGATGAAAAAACAACTTATGAAAAAATGAATCCAAGATAATTTTTTCGTTGTCTTGTGCGAGCGTTGTGAAAATGCACTGAAAGCCCAATAGAAATTATGCAAATTAGGTATGTTTTGGCCGATTTCGAACTTTCGTATTTTTTTTTTCAAAATAACAACTCGCTGGAACTTTTGAATATTATTTTTGAAAACGATTCACCAAAAGGGTCTTTTTGAGCAAATTAAAAAATGTTGAATTTTTGCTTCTGTAGCCGGATTCTCGAAAATTACTGACAACCCTCTTAAGTACGATGTCTGGTATGTTCGCTGTGATAGTTCAGTCAGTACTGGCATGTCCCATATGATGGTAATGTTGTTGTCTTTCGATTGTGCATCACAGTCTCTGGCTTAAGCTGGTACCATTTGCCTGCAATCTCGATATCAGGATCTTTACAAATGCTCCAGTGGAGATATGCACAACACAAACCAGTTTCATGCAATAGCCATTTACCAGCATGTGGATTTTCTAGAGCAGGGTTTAATTACCAAATATATAATAAGAACATGATTATCGAATATGCTTTGAAAAATTCATATCCTAGATTTCTCCAGTAAGGAAGCTGATCTTCAGATTGAATAGTCCCCTGTTTCCTCCTTTAACTCGTTTTGCTCGACTTAGTGAAGCCTATTACAGTTGGCTTTAGCTTCGGACGGTATTTTGAATTACAGGCACGATTGCAAAATTTATTCAATAAATTAATGTTACGTAAAAGTCTGGCTCATGCCTAGCACCCTTCGACATTTTAATTCGAAGGTAGTTACTAACAACTGAATGGTTTGAATAACACCGAACCTTTTTGAATGTTTTGATCGATCAAAACGGACGCAAGTAGGAATATTTATCTGATTGTTCGCAGAGCCCTAAGGATGTTTCAGGCGGGCGCTTCTTTGTTTTTTTTTCTCTTTATCATCCGGAATTTATGAGAAAAAAACGTGCTAACATACTCTCGTTCAAGACTGCGTTAGCCAGGAGAGTTAACTCTTTGTTAGCTCTTTTAGAACGCTTTTAACATAATAAGATTTCAGACTAACAATTTTCCATCTCCTTTGCAGTAGATGTTTTTGTAATCGCTTTATCCTTTTCTTTTTTGGAAACAAGGAAGAATAACCTCTATTTAGTTATTAAGTCCTGATCATCAAAAACCATCAGTGGAGTATAACAGTGCGAGTGTGAAGTATAAGGGAGTGACCCATGCATCGCACCGCTAACAATGAACCCAATTGGGCCGTTTTTTTCGTGATATTTATTTTCTTTTACGGGGCCCGCTGAAATCACTTTATTTGTTATTCCTAAGTATTGCTCTTCGCATCCTATACTGTGCATAAAAAAACACACATAAAAATCTAGAAGTGGGGACAAACACGAGACTACGTCTCGTGTTTCTTCCTACAATTCATTCTTGTTCTAGCTGCTTCCTGCGTGCTTTTTACAACGGAATAAAGCACAGTCAAGGCTTTTATATTTGTTACATATGAAAGATTGTGCGCTATTCCTAACTCTATATTTTTTTTCGAACATCTTACAACTCTAGCAATTTACAAACCAGCAGGAGAACTAGTACTTTCAAAGAACAATGATTGATATCCATAAAAGGTTAACTGATACTTGTGAAGGTACTTGTTTTAACTTGTACTTGTACGTCGAGACTGACAGAGTGATATTGGAAATCAAACGTATAATTAGTTTTGTGGACAGCAGGTTCTGAATGAGTTTCTTCTTTCTGAGATGAAGAGAGAATCAGTTAAATCACACGTTAAGTACGAAAAAGTCAACGATTTCATAGAAAACTTCAATTCATGCAAATTCTTGAATGTTTATCAAAAGGCTTTTGAAGACATGACGTGTCACTTGACAACGTTTCGTTGGCCTATTTCCACTCTTATTTAATACTACATTTGACAATTGGCTAAAATGATGTCTAATAAACCATGTGTTTTGTTCGTTAGACATTAGAGTATCCTTAAATTTCGCCCATATTTTTAGCAACTCTCTAAAGCCAAGTTATTTTTTTGTGACTGATGTTGGCAATTCTTGTAAAGAACCAAAATAGACCTTTTAAATTCAAATTAATGTTTCTATAACAATATAAAGAAATTTAGGTGTCAACTTTTTGTATTTTTTGTAATTTCTAGAAACTTTTCAAATTAGCAACTTTCCAGCAGCTTAGGATCCCAATCGGGACAGGCCTAGTCTCAATGGGTGATCGCTTTTACGGCAATTAACGGTTAAAAATGTTATCATTTTACGGCTAATGGTTAATTTCTCTCTGTAATTTTGATTATTTTGGTTGTGTTACGATTAACTGCTCTCCCCACTAAGGCTCTGTGATATTTTTTAAAACCACCCCCACCCTTCATTAGCCTTCAATTTTCTATAGTCCCTCTTTTACACTTTGTTGGAGACGACTGCCCCCTCTGTTCCCAACTAAATCCATGAAACCCCCGAAAAAAAAAAATCCAACAGCATCCCTACCCCTCCGACGACTAGCTCCTAGAGGGTATAGAGAGAATAAAATTTAATTTGGAACCATGCGGTCAGATGCGATCGAACGATACGTCACGATCCAAAGTGACACCATTTTAATTCTATAAAAATTTATAACTTTTTTTCTATTTTCTGCAAAAATTGATCCACTTAGTCTCACTTAGAGAATTCTCTGGTATTAATCAAAAAGTAAATATTTAATATGCATTGAAAAGAAAAAAAAAATGTAAAAAAAAATGTAAAATATACACGGCAGAACTCTCACGAAAAGTGATTGCGAAGAAGTACCTCTTGTCAAATTGAGAAAACAAATCCAAATTTAGAAACAGAAAAATTACCTGAGGTCTCACATTTTGATTTAAAAATGAATATAGGAGGCCAATAGCGCATAAATAGGTATGAGAAATAAGGAGAAAGAGCAATAATAATATTATAAAATGCTTTTTAAGTCGGGTTGGACCGGGAATTATTTAGATGTCGTTTATGACGTAAGAATCGAAATAAGTTCCGCCTTATTGTCATGACCTGAGTGAAAAAATACGTTTATGGTTCTCCCTATTCCTAACAAGAACAATATTAAAGCTGTGTCGAACAAACAATAATAAGAAACGAGTTTTGAAAAGCCAAATAATTCTGAAAAAAGTGTTTATTAGATAAAACGAAGAGTTTCGTTGCCATTTACTTGCATTATAACAACGACTTCGTATTTTGAATTTCGAAGAAAACGGAAATTCTGCGTGAATCTCAGCAGACATTTTTTCAAAGGAAGTCTGCAGGTGGCATTCAAAGAAGTTTTTAAAGAAAACAGAGCATCATGTTTCATAGTTTTATCACTTAAGCATGTTGAACTCTGTAAAGTTCCTCTTTCAATACTAGTCAAGTTTTATTTAAAGTCAATTTGTTTCTAAAGATCTCTCTACCGATCTTGAAAAGTGAAGAAAGACTGCGATACTCACTCAGGCAAGTTAACAGCATAGGAGAAGTACCTTATGGTTCTGTTATCATCATGATAGGATAGAGCTAAACCAAATGTATCATTTTGGGAAGTTTTTAATAAGCGTTTTTAGGGGCAGCGAACTGTGTGTTATTTTAATAGTATAGCGTGAATGTTTGAATCAGAAAAAAGCTGCTACTACATTCGGGAATGGGTCGTAAAGGAGTCTGTTACTTTATATTTAGATGTCTTTTTTTGCATGCAATGAGGCGACGACCGTTCGCTGTACTTAGTAAAAACTGTTTCTGCTATTGAGCTTTGACAACTTCTTATTGTAAAAAAATGAGTAAAACTTTTCATTAAGCCGTAGACGAACGCTCAATGGGACTATTTTAGCTACCGTTTCTTATCGACTCGTGCCATATCTCACGCTTGCTTTTTTTCACAACAAGCTTTAAATTTTGTAGTATGCATGACGTATCGCTCGTAATGCGTGTGTGCGATATGTCATACTACTTGAAAAACAGCCAAACAATAAGTGGCTCTGCAGTTATCCCTGTTTTTCAGTGGAGCCTACATATTTGTATCACTGTGCTCTCAAACTTAATGATTTCATTTCAGGTGAGATTTTATAACAAAAATGGGAGTCCAAGAGTTCTTTTTATTTACCAGTTCTCCTCTTCATGTTGGTATTAGTTCACTCAGCTGTTACTCAGTACCACCGTGATACACGTGAAGTCTCCATCTTTGGTAGGATGCTTCAAAAACACATTTTTAAAACAATCACTGGAGCAGCATTCGGTGATGTGTGTTTCCGGGAGTGTTATCGTGACGTCAGATGCCAAAGCTTTAACTATGCGTTCACCCAAGACAAGTGTGAGCTGAGTAACCGTACAAAGGAAGCCAGGCCTGAAGATTTTATACCCAACTCTGATAGATATTACTTCAGACGAGATATGAAGAGAGGTGAGCGTTAAGGCAAAATGATTTGGCTAATTGTCTTGGAGGGGAGGATTTCGCAGTTTTTCTTCACTTTCTCGTTTTCTTATTTTCTAACTATCCTCGGAGCCATTCCAGAGCTTTCTGCAGACTCGTGCAAGGAAAATCAAGGCGAGCGAAGGTGGACAAGCGGTCAGCGGAATATACTGGCTGAATTCCATCAAACCTCACACTCCTGTGTTGGCTCATTGTGACATGATAAGCGAAGGTAGAGTAAAGCAGTTAAACAGAAGGGGTATACGGTAACACGTATTGTACCTGGCATACAAGCTAACTGTCAGCTTTTTCTGTCAGGTGCAATAGGAATGGAACAGTGTTAAATATTGTGGTGGGACAAAGGGGAGGAGATTCAGTGGAGGTTAAAGGCGGACAAAGCACTAACAAAACAGCAGCTAAATCAGGAGTGTCCGTGGAAGACAATGCTGGCACTGGAGGAGGGGGAGCGGGTTGGTTTGGTCAAGGTTGTACCCGACTAAGCTCCTCCCATGGGGAAAGAGGTGGATCACGTTCTCAAGCCTGGATCGGTGGTCGATCCGGAGGTATGAATAGCGGTAATAACGAGGGCCCTGCACCAGGAGCAGTTGGTGGGTTTGGCGGTGGGGGAGGTGGATCAGAGGATAATGGTGCATCAGGTGGAGGTGGTGGGTACTCTGGGGGCGGTAGTAGTAACCGTGAAAAACAAGCCGGAGGCTGAGGAGGCTCGTACTATAATGGCCAAGATTGTTCCGGTTTGACTGGTGGGAACTCGAATGATAATGGCCTTGTGCAAATTACAGAACTTTAGGGCTGATTCCAAAACATTTCTTGAGTATAACAGTTATTTTTCAAAAGCAGATTTTCCCATTAACAGGAAAAAGCAGTTGTATTGGTAATTGCAGAAGTTTTATATATTTTCAAATCCCTTGTTCCTTTTTCAACATGAGAAGATAAGAATGCTCTTCCCCAGGCTAGATATTAATAATGTCACCGTCTAGGATCATAATATTCAACACGCTTTAGCTTAAAAATCCTGACATTTGATAAAACTCTTTTAAAGTTTGCTTGTAAGAATGTGGTCAAAAATCATTATAAAGTTAATAATTTAATTCAGGCTTGAGCACGTGACCCACCTCATAAATTATAAAATTCATAATTTAAAGGGAACTGTGCAATGAGTTCAATCTATTAACTATCCTATTATAGAAAGTTTTTTTTAATAGTAAACTCTTTAGAACTGGTCGCGAGTAAAACAAAAGGTACGCTTCACAGTAGGCACAGTCGTCTAGTATTTTGTTGTATAGCATAATAAAGAAATTAGAGGAGGCGGTGCAGAAACAAATCGAACATTTTGATGACCTCCTTTAAAGTGCGTAGGAAATGTCTTGCCGGTTTAACGTTGTCCTCAGTCGAGTCGTGTTCACCTCTAAAGGTGGTTGTCAATAAACACGAGCGGGAAACATTCCATTATTACCTTCTGATGTCAAAGATTTTGTAATGTTGTTCACTTAGATCAGAAACTTTACATAGGCAACATTTTTATTATTGGATGTCGTGTGACCCCAAAGTAACCAATGATAGCGGCTGCTGTTGAAAAAAAATTCCAGTTGTATAACAATATCAGTTTTCGGTAAATAAAGTAATAAGGTTACCAGTCGTTTCGTACCTTTTTTTTCCAACACTTTCTCTTGTTGAAAGAAAAAAGGATTCAAAAGGGACAAATTATCAAGTTATCTAGGTAGCTCATCTAGAATTTTCATAACTCGTTTTCCTTACAGCAATCTAATACGTGGTAAAGTGACGTCTATTTTCGTTATGTTAGGACGTTTGTCATGAGTACAGGTTTATTAAATAACTTAGAGAAAAGTTTGGTTATGCAAGTCAGCCATAAGATATGAAGTAGTAAAAAAAATACACAGGGTAAGACATCGCTTATAAGAGGTTTTGTAGTTTATCGATAATCTAAATAGTCCATTTATTGGAGTTTCCATAACTCGTTTGCGAGCATCATAATCATTAAGATTTAAAAAGTGACTTTAGTAGATATTATACCTATATTATTGATATTTCACTCGATAAAGCAATAATAATAAAAAAAGGTCTAAGAATATCACTAAATTAGATATTTGGTAGCGTGTTTAAGCCTAATTTGTTGTAAATTGTTCAACTCATTTTGAGAATTCTAGTTCATTTTAGTACATGGTATTCAAATTATTTCATAGCCTGGTTCAAACGAGATCATCATTTCTATTTCCGTGTGTAAACTTGCAATCTAACTGGGCGTGAAAATCTTCAAAACTCAGACTGTCCATTTCGTTTTCTCTTTGAGGATTTCCGCCTCTGTTCACGTCATTATAACGTGTATTATATTCTGTTGCTATTTGCTAATTCGCTTGTTCCGAAATTTCACTTTCAATTAGAGAAAAAAAAAGCTGGAGAGAAGTCCGGGAAATGGTCAAACATGGCACGATTTGGCAGGATAATAACATTAGGCTCGTTGCAATTTTCGTCGCCCAATATCAAAAATTTTTATGCCTTAATGCGAAACGATTAACTCTGGGATTTAGTCATTCGAAAAATACCTCCGTATCTCTTTCCATAAAAGCAAAACGAAAAAAAAGCGCTTTGTAAACATGTATTGAATGAGGTTCGAATGGCTTTCTGTGATAAATTAAACGAAGTCCTTACGTAAATCAAATTATTTTCATTTTCCTCTATCGTTTCAGGGGAGTTCATTATATTACTTGCACTACTTTCTTGGAAAATTACTAGTGCGATCTGTTGATTAGAAGTCTAATTAAAAAAAGAAAAAAAAAAGAGATCGTTTTGCTGCGAAAGGTTTGACATAAATTTTTGATTCGAGATAAGCTCATTAAAGCCATGAAATACCGGCCTCTGTTTGTATGTAAAGAACCTTGACACCTGTTCAACCACTTGTTTCTAAACATCAAAGACTCTGGGATTGTAATTGTAATCTACTCCAAGGTAATAGCAAACTGGTGACATGTAATACAAACAATTACTTTCGGGTAGCTTGATTCCTTAAAAAAATTCTAAATTCCCCTAAACAGTTTCCAAGAGGCGTTATCATCTACCTTGGATAGCAATCAAGGTACGTACAAGATATGTAAAGTACCAGGTCAGATATTTTGAAAAGTTTATCTGAATACAGAACAGCTGAAGGTTCGATCGCTACAGTATAAACTATAGCATTTGTTCTTCCTCTGTCTAAACGTTGAGTCCTCTCACCAATATACATTTATCAGGACTATTTTAAAGATTTGCGAGTTTCCCGCATTTCTTTAGGGGAGCATTAATAAAACTTGGCAGGTTTTCAATTAAACAAGGCTGAATCTCAAGGTTCATTTTCCATCCTTATGTCTGTTGGTTTTGATGTTTCGTGGATTCTTCCCTCATTCCACAAACAGTTTTTAGCTAAGATCCAAGAAATACCTATATTCTTAGCATTATAGCATAATCTTGGTCTTTAATTTTAATCGTAATCTATCTTACAGGAAAGGACAAGCCGGTGGTCGGGACGATGCGATTCTTTATTTCAGTGACACTTTGTATCGCGTATGAAATTTTCGCTCAAGAATGCAAAAAGGATGAGCATGCAATTTTTGGTATGATGCTTCGAAGACACACCTTCAAAAAGTTGAAATCGTCGATTGCAGTCGAATGTAATCGAGCGTGTAACGATGATTTTCGATGTCACAGCTTCAATTACTTAATAACGGAGAAATTATGTGAACTAAACAACCGGACTAAGGAGGCCAGACCAGAGAACTTTGTACCAAATTCGGAGAGATACTATGTCAGGAGTAATAAGAAAAGAGGTGAGTTTCATCGCCCAAAAGGACTTAACACTGAGTGTAAAATTCAAATTTCCTAAACTATTATGGGTCTTGGTTGGTGAAATTTGAGACACCATGGACAAAAGACATGATATTACTCCAAATTTACACTTTCGAAACCAAATTGTTTTCAACGAAAGCAAGTGGATAGCGTTATCCGTATTTTGAATTTCCGGGCCCCAGCTCCAAATATTTTTCTCTGATCGAGAGGAGTAATGAAATTTATTATCTAACTGCACAAAGTAGGGAACAAACAACGCGCGAATAGAGTGCAAATATCCTGCGATATTGTACAGTTATTTCGACAATTGGTTATTTCCTACCGTAAAAAAACCTGTTTGAGAAGTTGGCAACAGTTGCCTACTCTTGCACCGTATTTAACAACTGTTCCATGGTTATTAGTTAAGAGCCTTCAGCTCCTCAAGTACCGGCAGCGATTAATTCAAAGCGTCGTCGCTTTGTGATTGAGTCGGATGATGAAAATGAAATGTAGTTTTGGAAAGTATTTTCATATGCAAAGGGCACATCCATGTCTTTAAGAGCTTGTCTCCTGGCAGATTCAAAGCTTTGTTACTGGCGATAAATTACAAATCACTTTTCATTGATAAATGTACACTTTCGTACATGCAGCAAATGTGTGCGATTTGAGAACAACAATAGAAAATAAAATTCAACTTTTAATCGTTTTGAAACCTTATGTGACAAATTGACGGCTTAACTCGTAAAAATACTCAGCGATACTATACACCTAAACTTCTAGTAAGAAAGTTATTAGAGGGTGGAAGTAAAGCTAGAAATTATCTTTGATGAAAATATTTCTTGTCCTCAGTTCCTCTTGGTTCCATTCCTGAATTTCCAGCGGAAACATGTGAACAGATAAAGGCCAGCGAAGATGGAAAAGCGAAAAGTGGCGAGTACTGGATTTATTCCATTATAACGGGAAAAACTGCTCTGGTTTCTTGCGATATGGAACCAGAAGGTAAAAATATTCAAGTTCTTGTTGTTGCAACTGATATGAATGTGAAAAAGTTTGTTTAAAAATTTATAGTTCTAGTAATTTAGATATAAAGCTAATGACAATAATATACACTTTTTGTTGCCTTTCAATGAAAACCTTAAAGCAACCATCATAAATGGTAGTAGACCTTACCCTCATCATTTCCCATTTGCACATATCTGTATTTATTGAGTAAAAAAAGTTATGTGTACTCTAGGATTCGGTAGACTTTCAAGGGCCAAATTCTTTCGATCATCACGGCTCGACCAAGGAACTTTAGCAAGTGATTAATTGTAAAGCATTCAGACCAAACTAGCATATGAATATGCAGCTTTTGCAGGCAAATGTGTGTGTTTGATGACCGTTACCATTTTAACCGACTACCATCCATACCAAAAAAAAAAAAAAGCATAAAATTGACTCATGTATGTGGCCTGCAACATCTCTGGCGCGGCACTAATTATTCCTGTCCTACCTTGTATGTGATATTTGTATCAACCTGCTAATCTATATCAACAGACATTGATGAATGTGCCAGCGGTGTTCACAATTGCCACAGTTCAGCTTCATGTACCAACACTGTAGGATCGTTCAAGTGCTCATGTAACCAGCCCTACATAGGGGATGGAAGATCTTGCATTCCTCTCCCATCACGTACAAAGTTGAGTCGGGTCTTCCAATGTTGCTGCTTTTGTAACTATGCTTTCACGCAGGCATCCGGCTTGACGTAGATACAAGCAACAGGGGGTAATAAACTTATTACTCAGATAGTAATCAAGCAACTAGCAACTTACTTATTTTGCTTCATTTTTGCGCTCAAGGATTTTTGTTGCGTCATATCTTTGGATTTCACGTGACGTTATGAAAATCGAAAATCCAAAATAATTAACAATAATCCACTTAAGTGGAGGAGAGTAGTCATGGATATTTAAGCGCCGAGGTAAATATCCACCACTTTAACCGACAGTGGTGATGAAGAATGTTTGAACTTCAGACAATATAACGAATATTGGTTGAAAATTAGATTTAACTTAATAGAACTTGCAAATCACTCCCGAACCAGCCAATCAGCGCACGCGAAAAGCACCATTCACTCAGGTGTTTTATACTAACCAGGGCACCAACTCCTTGGTGTTCGACGGAAGGGCACCAACTTGGCATCCCCATACTGAGCTCTTAAAATTTAGTGTACAATAGCTCACTCTCCTGGGGTCGGGCGTTCAGTATGTAGTTTTGCTTTTAGTTTTCAATTGGATGACAGTGAAATCCATTAGGCAACAACAGGGAGAGGATAGCGGATGACTCAAAAAGTAATCATGCAACGAACACTGCCGAAAATTTACTTTTTTTATGTTTTTGCGCTTGGGAATGTTTGAGACGGTTGCCTGCACTGAAGATCTTCCGCCTTAATTCCAGAGGAAATTAAATATGCTTGTAACAACAAACGAGGAAAGTCAAAACAAGAAAAACCATTACTACTTGAATTGAATTCATGTTGTGACTCTTTAATGTGATTATGCGGCCGTAAAACTATTTCGTAACTAACTTCGTTTGTTTGGTCATTATGGCTAGATATTGGCTGCGTTTTTATCGCTTTTTTTTCCTGGAGTCAAAAACGTTAAGATTACTACACCAGGAGATTTTAATCTCTTTACTACACTAATAAGTAGCGCAGAGGTCATATATTCTATATAAATCAAATACCAAGGGTTCTACCTGGTTTGTTTCGATTTTTGGACTTCCGTCAATCATTTCTACTCTGTCCATTTTAGAATGTCAAAACTATCAAAGTCTGACCGGGTCAGACAGAAAGATAACCTATGGCAATCAAAACACGGTTTGTGACAGGAGTATTCATGGTTGGTATCGTTTTGAAGGAGCAGCAGGTACAAGAATGCCTACTTCATGTCCACCAAAACAGCGATGTAACACTCACGCATCCGGTTGGCTAAATGGTGCTCACCCCACAGTGGCTGATGGTCAGGTCACCAGGACAGTTTGCTTCCACTGGGGATCAAACTGCTGCAACTGGTTAAGATCCGTCAATGTGATAAACTGCAGCGATTACTATGTTTACTACATAACTGGCACACCCGGATGTTCCCTCCGCTACTGCAGCACAGACTAAATCGACGCTGGTTCAGAAAATTATCAATTGCTTGAGTCGTCTTTTGAACAATCTTAACTGTGATTTATATGCATTTCACTTTAGCGATATCAGATTGTGTGTTGTGGTTGGTCACAAATAATAATGATAATCGTGATAAATTAAAAATTAAAAAAATGAAGAAGAAGAAGGAACATTAACTAAGGGACTTGTCATTATTTATAGCCTGGTAGGTAGAGAATTTTGGAGGATCACAAGGTTTCTTAGTGAGGGACAGAGGGGAATCGGTCTTCCCCGACAGAGAATGACGGCAGAAGACTATAGAGAATTGAATGTCAGTGAACTGGAATTGACATCGGAAGGGTGGGGATCATAAAAATGTACAGAACTGCACGGAGGAGTTTCAGGTAATCGTGACTCCATGAAAGTCCTCCACCAGCAAAGCCCTTCACCCCTGCACCCGCCCCCTCCCCCAAGTGACAAGTCCCTTAAGTGTGGCTGTTTGTAAAAGTTCTCCGGTAATCCTGATGATGAAGAAGCTGTTCAATGTGTATTGGTTCTCCATACATATTTTTCTCGCGTATTTAATATTTTATTTTACTAAGCTGAGGGCTAATGATGATTTTCAAGGGGTGAGTTTCACATGAAATCACAAGAAACTTTCGTCTAAATAATTGCACGAATTGGTGCCCTGTGTTTTTGGTGGGAAAGGGTCTTCTAAATCACTTGCACTGTTTACTAATTGAAATAAACAAAAAAAAATACTCGCCAAATGCATCCGAGAATATCCACTGTTAGGTTACCTTGACCAAATAAAACTGGGTTAGAATACCCAATTATCTTGATTCAAAATTATCATTTAGAAAACTCAAAATGTCAAAGGCAGCTTAATTAGAAACCTTTAAACTCAGTGTTTTTTTCAGTCATACTCGTGGTTTTTGTTTTGACTGCAACAAATAGGAATATTAAACATGTTTTTTTTTCCTTTTTCATAGATTTCATTTCATTTTTAGGTCAAAAACCTAAAAAAACAAAAAAAAAAAAACCGCTTTGGACATATTGTGTTGAACGAAAACGAAAACTCTATGTAAATTATAGGACGGCCGAATTCGACGAACCTCCCATTTAAATCAAACTCTTTTCATTTTCTTCCATTGTCCGGACGGGGTTATGACATTACAGATAGAAAGTGATGTGCCACGATTTACCGAAGCAATTTTTCGGCATAAGGTTATTCCGACACCTCCATGGGAAATTACGCGCGCCCTGATTAGGGGTTAATTGCTGCGGAAAATTTTATATAAATTTTTCATTTAAGATGGCTTTATTAAGGCAGGGAAAACTGTAACTTTCACGATTTTTAGGCAGGAGTAAATCAGCGCTTGCCGCGAAGATTCAGAGCCAATTTCATATAGAGACATTGAAATATTATTCTTCTGACAATTGATTGCAAAAGAAAAGGTTCAGCTGCTTTACCAAACTTCAACGTTTGAAAAATGCCCTTTGAACATTCGTCTGTATTAATTGCAGTAGCTTTAGATGGAATGAGCCAGTACTTGTGGCTGAGTTGCAAAGGAGAAACGCTGATTAAAGGCGTCAAGTTAATTGGAAGTTTTCAAAACACTTAAAACTGACAAAAAAAAAGGAGAATATAAAAAAAAAAAAAAAAAAAACCGTACAAATGCGGGCATCCAAAGTGGGTTTCATCTACAAAAGCTAAGAGCTTTCTGTAGATATACTCATTTGCTATTTTTTCAGGACGGAGGAAATTTAAAAAACCGCTCAAAATCTCAGGAAAACGCAGTTCATGTTCTAGTCGAACATTATACAATAAAGTAATTTCCTAAGTCATTAATTTGCAGGATTATTTGGGTGAACAGTACTCAATTGTAAATTTCATTATGAAAGCCTCTTATTAGATAATGACTAATCTACTGTGTGTTATAAGATACTGACGTTGATTGGACTTGACCTGAATACCGTAGCTTTTCCTTCAAAGTCAATGGGATTCTGTACATCAATAATATTGGGAACAGGCCCTTACAATTTTATCTTCTCATTTTAATCGACAGAGAACAAGTTATATCGTCTAAATAATTCTGCCTCAACGATGTGTTTAGGACCTGCTGATTAACACGTCTTCCTTGCAAAATACTCTTAATTTGTTATGCTGAACGTTGTCTGTATGTTCAAATCCTTGACACCTTTAAAACTGTAAAACATAAAGTCTGACAATTCAAACTACTGTTTGTATAAACAAAAGAAATAAGGATTGTAATTTACTCAAAGGTATTAACGAATTGATAAATATAAAACACACAGGTATGTTCCAGTGGATTGATTCCCTGAAAGAAGTTATAAACTTGAGCTTTTATCTGAAGGATGATCTAATCTCTGTAAGAAAGGAAAAAATGTATGTACAGGAAATGTAAGGATCAGGTCAGATATTTTGAAAACTTAATGTGCAGATATCACACGTAAGGACTCACGTTACGCTATATTTTCATAGGTGGTAGTACATGGACGATCTTTGTTGGTGGAATGATTAGCCTCGTTAATTCTTTCTCTGTTTGAACGTTAAATTTTCTCAGTATATTTTTATATTTTCAGGGCCATTTTGATGAATATTTTAACATGTGTAAACAAGCATAAATAGATAAATTTGTAAGATTATACACTTAGCTAGTTGTACAACGCACTAAACTATACATTCAAATCGCAATTTCATGAATCATTTCCTGTCCTGTCTTTTTTTTTCGTTAATCTCAGGTGCATAATTAACAAAAATCGACAGAAAATTACCGTAATTTCTTACTGAAATTATACCGCTTTCTTCAACCCAAATTAATCACAGTATTTATTTTTTTCAAAATTTCTCTTAGAGGAGAGACGAACCAGTGGTAATGACGATGCGGTTCTGTATTGTTATTGCAGTGTGCTACTTTAATGAAATTTTTGCTCAAGAATGCAAAAAGGATGAGCATGCCATTTTGGGCATGATGCTTCGAAGACACACCTTCAAAACTATGAAATCATCGATTGCGGCTGAATGTAATCAGGCGTGTAACGATGATTTCCGATGTCACAGCTTCAACTACGTCATTTCTGAGGAACTATGTGAACTAAATAACCGGACTAAGGAGGCCAGACCAGAGAACTTTGTGCCAAATTCTGCGAGATATTATGTTAAGAGTAATAAGGAAAGAGGTCAGTTTAACCATAGAAAACCTTCATCAATGAAGTGAAACCCATCTGAACAATAGTGGCTTTGTAGAAAAGTAAGACCATAGGTGAATGACATAAATTGGTCTAAATTTATACTTTGAAGTTATTCCCACATTAAGTCAGTAGGCAATTTCTAACCCGAAAGCCTTTTTCCATCGAGAACCATAGTAAACAAAAGTGAATATTTTTTTTCTTTCACTTGCGCACTGTAATAAGACGGAAACCCGCAATGAAGTTCATGACGTCAAAACTTGTCTTCTCTCCAGTACATGTATAGATTTAGTTTTATTTTTAGTGGGCAAATGGAATTAGAATTACTTTCTGAAGAGAATGTTTTTCGACCTCAGTTCGTCTTGGTTCCATTCCGGAATTTCCAGCGGATACATGTGAGGAGATACAACGAAGCGAAGAGGGAGAAGCGACCAGCGGCGAGTACTGGGTTTACTCCATCACGACGGGAAAAAGTGTTCTTGTTTCTTGCAATATGGAAAGAAAGGGTGACAAAACTGAAGTTTTTTTTGTTCTTGTAATTGATGTGGATGTGAAAATTTTAATTCTAGTGATTTGCAGGTAGAGTAATTGATTTGTTGTGCACTGTTTGTCTCCTTTCGATGAAATCCTTGTCACAACCGTCAAATATAGCGGTAAATGTCATGTTGTTTTCTCATTTGTACATGTCTGTATTACATCAGTTATAAAACTTGGGAACACCTTAACCAAAGTAAGGATACAGTAGACCTTCGGAAGCCAATTTTATTATTATTTTTTTTGCACTAATTATTCAGCCCATCAAGTGTTCATGGCCAACTAGAACCTGCCAACACGAATAAGAGATACTTTTTGCGGCGAAACATCTTATAAACGGCAGCTTTTCAATTTCAGTCGCATAAAAATTTCCTGATTTCGATCGCATGTGCAGATCTCTGCAATCGGTTTGGGTGTAAAACTGGACGAAAGTCCAAGAAAGATAGCTTGGCAGAGAAGAAATTCCACAAAAAAGGCGAAAAAAGGCCTCTGAAACAAACAAAGGTTCGTGGTTTGAGGAATTTTGGCTGATGGCACTCGATCGAAAAGTTTTACCGCGGCTGCTCGAGCCGTGTGAGACTTGAAATTGCCCATAAGCAGAGTTCAACAAGATCTTTAATTTGCAACTTGTAGGTGGTGTTCTACGAAACATATTTTTGCAAATGTCTCCTGGGCCTTTGCAGGTTGCCCCTGTGTTTCTATTGGGGTCGGCATTTCTAGTGGTCAGGGTGTTCAAGTAGTTTAACATATGGCCACCTAAAGGAGTGAAAGGCGTTAGTTACAAATATTGAAAAAAAAACAAAAAAACAAAAAGAAAAAAGAATTCTTCGTTTTTATACAAGTGTGTCCATTTCCATAAATTTTTCAAGCGTTAAAATGTAACCTGGATTTCTCGGTGATGAAATACGTTGTAGTTGTAAGGATTTTTAGATTTCTAAAGGAGTGCATATTTGTCCCCCTCGCGGACAAACAGGCAGAGGCAAAGAAGGACTTATTGACCGACCATCTTGTTGTTTGTAACAAGCTAATGTCAATTTACATTTTTCATGCATGATATATTTGCTTATATTCGACAGATATTGCATTAATTGCACAATCTAATTCTTTTAACCATTTTTTATACAGAGGTTCATTTTACGGTCAGTGGGAAAAATGACGCTTTGGCACTGTACAGACGTTTACAATTCCATGGACCACCCGCTATCTCATCAAAGCCTGGGGTGCTCAGGGAGAGACTGACTGACTGACTTGCCAACTGATAAACTTATTAC